AAGGGTGCATTTGATGAAACTTGCCCTTTTGCCGCTTTTTTGTCAAGTCATAATACATAAGACAAAAGTCATAATACACAAGTCATAAGTCATAAGACAAAAGTCCTAAGACAAAATGGCACTTATGGGCTTCCGTACTTGAAAGTTTTTTTTTTTCATCAATTTTACCGCAAATTGTTTATATACAATATGTGTACAGCGATATTAATCAAGTAATTTTCGTCAAAATGTGTTTATATGAAATATTTGTACAATTTGAAAGATATATTTCAAAAACTTTTCGTAAAGATGGGAAAGAAATTGCAAAAAGTTATGTCTCATAAGATAATTAGGTTCTTTAATTTTTCATCAAAAATGAAATGTTTTTCAAACACACTGGCTTGAAAATGATGACAAAAAGTAATGTTTTACCTCTCCTGATTTTGCGTGGAAATTGCCATTATAACATAATAAGTTTTAATCCAAAGTAATCCTCTCCCTCATTTTCAGGACTTTCATTTATAAACATAGGTATTTGAACAGTAAATCCTTATAAAAGTAATGTTTTCTTCTATTAACGTTTAATATCTTTTAAAGATGATATCTCAAGACATTTACTATTTTTTTTGTAATGCTTGTAAATCACTCTGACCTTTCCTTCATCTTGATGATAACATTAATCAACACCAAATTAACGAATGTGCAAGGGATCAAAACAAAAAATGTTAAGAAGATGGCAAAAACAAACTAATTTTCTTTGATGTATTTCGCCCGTTGCATATCCCTCTTTAACCTTTTATCATCCCTGTAATTATTAGGCGCAATGCACATCTTGAAATTGTGCATATTATATAACCTTATATAACCTTTTATCCCCAAGATACATAATCATTACTATTAAAGTTAGTCTTATGTCTGAACCAATGGTTGCGAAGTTAGCCTCATGTCCAAACAAGTGGTTGAAAAAAAGTATTTTGTCTAAACCAGTGGTTAAGTAAATGTAGTCTTATGTCTAAACCAATGGTTAAGTAAATGTAGTCTTATGTCCAAACCAATGGTTGAGTGAAAGTAGTCTTATGTCCAAACCAATGGTTGAGTGAAAGTAGTCTTATGTCCAAACCAATGCTTGAGTAAAAGTAGTCTTATGTCTAAACCAGTGGTTAAAAATATGTAGTCTTATGTCTATATCATTTATTGAGTGAAAGTAGTCTTATGTCCAATGGTAGAGAAAAGGAAGGAAAAGTTTCACGGTGAAGGTACCAAATACTATTAATAGACGTTCAAATTGAATAAAAATATTAAAGACAAAACTTTGTGTAATGGATTTTTCCAGCTTTAAACTGAGTACAATCCATTCAAAGTTCAAGGGATTTCAGTATCAAAATGAAAAAAAGCTACAACCATATAGAGCCTGGTAAGGCTACATGGATATGCAGACTGTCCTTGCTCTATTATGGTGGCAAAGGCTAGCCACTTATATTTCGGCTTACCTTCCTTGTTCTTTTAATTCAATATAAGGTATCTTTTTATTATAAGGCGCGTGTGATGACTTCTGAAATTAGATAAAACTAAACTTGTACAGTTTAGGATAATAAAATTGACCTACCTATGAAAGCGTCGGATTTACTGCTAATCTCAACCAGTTCAAACAGGCCAGTACCAATATCACATTTTGTGTCGGCTACTGCAAAATCAAATGTGATATTTTCTTTCCGTAAATTGGCAAGGTCCGAACTTAACTTGACCTGAAATGTAAAACAATGGAATTAATGTAGTCACTAAACATTTATTCTATAGAAATAGTGCTGTTACTATTTCTTTTTATTTTCCATAAATTTGATTTTCCACTAATATATGTAAGGTATCCCTTTAAGACTAATCCTTTTGTCTCGAAAGAAACTCCCCACAGAGGGTTTGTTTAACATGAAGGGACCGGAGATATTCATTTCCGAGATTTGAGTACCATTTGAAGCAGGTCTGGATTAATAACGTGTGTGCATTATTTTAGATCATTCCATGACCCAATCATTCCAGAATACATTTGTTATCATTTTCATTGTGCAAAATGGCCCCTAAATTGACAGTTTTGCAACGCTTTTGGCTCAAATTGGGTATTGAAAATCGATTTTTATTCAGTTCTTAGTACATTTTTGTTTTATCTTTCGTGTTCTGGTTGTGCCAGATATATAGAAAAATGTCAAATTTTATGTGTTTAGACTTTTGATCTCAGCAGAGTTTCTTAAACAATACTTTTATATTATATTGAAATTTCTATTTCAAATTTGCCAATGAATATTTTTTATCGGAAAGGAATGTTAATTCTCAGTCTAGGGGGGGGGGGTAAAGCAAGGGTATGACAATTTTGAGTTTATAGAAAATGAGATGAGTGTGATGAAGCAACAATACAAGAAATCTAGGTTTTTGTTTTTGAAAGTGTATTTACAAGTGTTTTAACGAACATTTTGTACTAGTTTGGTTCAATTAAGAGACCCATATTTTAATAATAAGACTGGTTTATTTAAAGAAGATATCAATTATGAAATAAACGCGAAACTGTCATTTAACATCATCACGTCATTTGACATTCAATTCTCAGGGTATATATCAATTTCTTTAATGGGGTATACCTATTTAAGGGTCTAGAGAGCTTTCTTACATTTTAAAGAAAAACATTCATCAAAACAGCAGCAACAACAAGAAAAAGGCCAAGCAACAAATAAACAAAACTGAGATATATTCCTTTGCAATTTTTTAAAGCTTAGATAAGGCAAAGAAATCCCGTGAATTTCTAATCCACGATTATTTTCAGGGCAACAGTTGGACAAGGTTAGTTTATACGAATTTATTTTAGTACGATTTTGTTGGAAACTATAAGCTTAATGAAACACTCTCGAATCCGTTCCTGGACCCAACCAGTACTACGCAATCAATATAAAGTTTCTTTCTCATGGAACCCACGCGGTTTGCATTACTAGTCCGACGCGTTAACCACTTGGCCACGGCGCCAAGTGTTGAAACAGAATTCTAATTTGATTTTCATAGACCTCACTTGCATTTGTTTTTCACTGCATTTTATATTTGGAAATTGTCTTGAAATTTGGACACTTATCATTTCCATTGCGCTCTCATTAATTCCAATATCGGCAAAAAAAGTGATTGTATTAAAACTAACTTGCTGTAAATTGGTGCTATATGGGACCTCTATTGTCTTTAACCTTTAACCTCCGTGTAGTCAGACCAGGCTCTGTACTGTTGGCTGACCAATTACAAATTTTCATCTTGATATCCTCAGTTTTCCAAAATTGACAATGGAAAGTTTCAAAAGTAATGACATTTTAATCTAAGATAACAAGGAGGTTAAAGGTTAAAGACTTAAACACAAATCTTTTGACTCTCTGATGGTATCAGCAAATCCTAATTTATCTTTTACATTATTATCGTTGAATCTTTTAAGTTTTCATTTGAAAACGCTTAAATACTCTCAAATTTATCTGATTATTCAGACAAATTCTTTTAATAAAACATGACATTTCTTAAACTTTAATTAAAATTTCAGTCTCAAATATTAAGATAATTTGAGAATTTCATGTACAGATATTAATATAAATTGTTCGTGCATATAGGATAAGAATCAATCATTTAGAAAACATTTTTATTCATAAGTCTTTGTAATTGTATTTGATGGGGTTTCTTTTTTTCTCCTGTTACGTAAATATATTACATTTTAAAACTTTATAAGAATGAATAAACCAGACTTTGTTATATTTTTCTGGTCCTTCGGTATAATTGATTCAAGCACTTTCAAGTGTTGAAAATTGAGTACCGTTCAAACCGGTACTAGGGGGCGTGAAGACTGTTGCACTTTATACCCCATGTACAGACTACAACCACCGAGTCTGCAATTTTCATGTAACTTTGTTGCTATTAATTTTTCCGAGGGGTCACTCATCTTCCAGATTTTTTATATATTGAAGTAGGGAGACTACCAAAGTAGTTAATGGAGCTAAATTGCTAGAATGTTAACGAAAAACTTATCTAAACGCGAAGCATATTCAATCAAAAATTTCAATGTATTTGATAATTCACAATCTTAATATTATACCAATTGTTGACAAAAGCTTTAACATTTGCTAATATTGTTTGGGTCACCGCCTCAGCTGGCCGCCCAGTCCTAGGCTTGTCACAAACACTTGTTCTGCCTTCACGAAACTGAGATTCATTTGATGGTATTTCCTTTAATAGTTATATATAATAACCAAACATATTTTTTTTTCTTTGTGGGGGTATATAGGAATCATTTTGTCCCGTCCCATCCATTCTTATCCCGTCCCATCTCAGCAACCGTAAGATATAATAATTTGAACTTGAAATATCAATGTACGAGGGACGGTCAGAAAATATCCGGACTTTTCATGCTCCTCTCTTTCCACGTGCAGCTATATACACACATTATATATTGGTGAAAACTACATTCATTCGCCAATAACGTGGTCAGTTTTTTTAATGATAGTTATGTATACACAGTATTTTGCCCTCTGATATATGATAGGTGTTTCGTCTATCATGGACTCTATGTTAGAGGAACAACGCTCTGTAATAAAGTTTCTGGTTGCAGAAGGTGAAAAGCCCTGCCACATCTTTCAGAGGCTTAAAAAAAGATTTTCTGATAAATGTATATCACGTTCAACCTTCCACAACTGGGTTTCTCAGTCTATCTTTTAAAGGAACATTTTAATTACCCTCTTATATATCACAATTACATATATATTTTTTAATCGTTTAGCTGTATTTTCTTCAATGCTTTTAGTTTTCCCGTCAAAACATTGGCAATAATAAATGGTCCATTTCGATTACAAATTGTCAATCAACTTGCTTCTGTCAATATGTTTGTCTTATATTCAAAGCCTTTATTCAATTACCTTTAACAAAACAAACACTTAATTATTCTTGAAGTCAACACTGAGTAAGACGGTAGTTGCAACAAATTGTACAAAAAAAAGATATTTTATTTCGTATCATTTCTATAAAAGATACTTTAAATATTTAATCGAGACATTAAGTCCCGTCTCGTAAGATCTCTTTACGAATTTATGACATAAGTGTAAAATAAATCTTACTTTTGAGACGTATTATTGACCTTCTTTTGTATGAAAGTGCATGGATGCATGAAGAACGCGATTTAAATGATGTAAACTTGGCTAGCACCTTCTAAAATATACGAAGTAACAGATAATTTTTGATACCCAAGAAAGTGGAAAACTCGTACGCTAAAAAGGCAATACCTAGCCCTTTTTAAAATTTTACCCTTTTTTCCCTTACCAAAAAAAATACAATTTTACCAAAAGGGGCATACTTAACAAAAAATTTCATCAGAAACTGTTGATTTTAAACTTTTAGACAGTTACGGCAGACAACAAAACCATCAAAATTTAAAGAAAAAAAGTAAAAAATTTTTCAAATTTTCCCAAAAGGGGGTTTAAAAAATGTTTAACATTTTTATAAAAATCCTTTACATAAACATATAAATTTTTAAATTTTATTTTTCAGTTCGTCAGGAGTTTCTTTTATGTCCTTAATGGGAAGATGTTTTATATAAGCTTATTTTATGTCTTGCGGAAGCGTATCAGGGCCTACAGTTGGTGAGATTGTTTGCACTAAAATATGAAAAACAAGATCAACAAGGAAAGGCGGCGTTCAATGAACGCAACCCCCAAATGACCCAGCAACAAGAACCAATGGCAAGGAGCCCAGGTGGACCCCAAACATAAAAAGGACAGGGCAACGACACGTTAATCATTAAATGATAAATAATTTGTAACTGATTAGGAATTCAAAGAAAATAATAATAGGCCCACAAAGGGGAAGGGGACAGGAGACCGGGGGAAGGGGGGGGGGGTTAATCAAAGAAATAAAGGAACTAGAGGCAATGGGAAAGATACTTACCGTAGACGAGAAAAACAACAAGGGACACAAGCAAAAGTGTCACCAAAACAGTATGAAAACAACATAGACATACATCTGAGGAAACACAGTGGGGCGCCGCCTTGGAACGGTCAGCAGCATAATAATGACTGCTGGGGAGTTTAACCGGTTAATGGTGCACCAAACCTCGCTCTTAGCCCCACCATGTTTTCCTATAAACGAGACAGTGTAAATAAAATGAATCCCCGCCAAGTGAAATTCTAACAGTTGTCATGGTTACAAAAGGTTTAAATAAGTAAAACACTAAAATGATCATGTAGAAACATATAAAAGTAAACCCAATGACCATGACAAAAGTACTCAATGTCCTAAAGGAAGACAGAGCAACAAAGAAAAATCACCTACAAGGGCCCGACGAAGCAAGGCAGAAGACGAACATTAAGACAATTCAGTCCCAAAGGGCTTTACGAACCATCCATCATAGAGTCTCCCACTTGGTCCGTCAGATGCAATCAAAAGAGGAAAGCGTTAGTGTCCAACTGTAAAAGGGACTTGAACACTAAACATGCAGTATGTCTTAAAATAGTAGGGGTTCATAACCTCTTTTAATAAAACGTTTTAATGATTTTAAGTAAAAAACAGCAGAAAAATTACCATGACCCAAAATCTTTACGAAGTTTGTAAACCACATCGCCATTAAAAACCAGGCTGGCTAATCCCTTGTCGCAGAAGAGTTTTTAAATCACTATTGAAATTAGAATTAAATCAAAGTTACGATTGTAAAATTTAGTAAAATATTTCCGTAATTTATGATGATAGCGGT